AGTGTGACCCATGTTGTCAGGCCAGAGCCCTGACGGGAGGACATCGGAAGGATTACAGGCAATCAGAAGAGCCGCAGACACACCGGAAGCCCTTTCAGTAGGTAGAGAGCGAGGCAGCACCCCCCACCGGCCCCCAGGCCTACAGATTAGCCTGGCCCCAACTCTTGAGAAAGACCCTGAACAAAAAAAACACCAAAGTCCAAAGTGAATCATTATTCACTTTACAAAAGGATTCTTTGCTTGACAAAGGGATTCCTTGAAAGGGCCAGAGCCCAAGGTAGACTGGAGCTTCGCTTTGTTTCATTATTTACTTCTGTGGGCCAGAGGAAGAGGGGGAGAAGGGAGTAACTTGCAGCTGAAAGTTTGTTAGAAAAGATGACAAAATTCCTAAGGGGAAGGCGTAGAGGGGTGGAGACAAGACTGTGCTTCTAAAACATTTGCCGGGAGAGGCCCTCGAGAAATCGAGCCAGGGCAGCTTTCAAACAGGAGGCAAGAGAGCCGAGTGCCTGTGGCCCGTCCCCCGGGAAGGGCACAGCACAGGAGGCGGGCAGCAGAGTTTCCAACAGGTCCCCACGGGGTGGACCCCAGAGCCATCAGGCTGCGAGGAAAAGCAGGGAGCAGTAAGGGGCAGCAGGAAGGCAGGAGGCCAGCAGCCGGCTCAGCAGGTGGCAGGGGTGTCACCCTTTATCAGGTGACATTTATTTACGAAGCATCTCTTTGCACGTGCTTGCCATCCTGGGGAGGGATGCCCTGCCCTTGCAGAGTCTCAACCAGGCCTTCACTCCACTCGGTCTTTTTCATAATTCCTACGAGGAACAAGAAACAAGCGTTGCAACAGTAAGAATATTTCCTGAGCGTGCGAACTAGCCATTGTCTCCTGTACCCCCTCAACCGCCCCGTGAGGGAGACATTATTCTTATTCCCATTTACCCATGTGGAGACAGGCACAGAGAGGTAAGTAACTTGCCCAAGGTCATGCAGCTAGTAAGTAGCAAAGCCAGGATTCAGATACAAGTCTGCCCAACTTCAAAGCCTGTGAACACTAGGCTAAATGCCTGCCGCATCAGCCCATTTCACAGACAGAGATGCCAAGGAGGAGAGAATGCAAGCGAGTTGCACTGAAGCAGGGGATGGACTCTGAGGACCAGCTCTCCTGACACACCCAAGGCTTGTTTGACTTGTGATACCGCCCCTGGGAAGGCAAGCCAGCTTTCTTGGTGGGGTACGTGGACTGCTCTGTGGCCATTAAGTCACTCACCGGGTCTGGGCCTCTGTTTACCTCTCTGCCATTCATCAGTATAGTGTGAGTCCCCCACTACCTCGCTGAGAGAGAGGAACTGGGAAGAAACGTGGGGCAAGGTCCAGGGCTGTCATCAGGGAGCCCACGGGAGGAACAGGCTCAGTCCCAGCTCCAGAGATTCACAGAGATCCACAGGCTCTGGGTTGAGCAACGTGATGTTCACAGAGCAAAAGCCTAGGCAGCATCTCCAGGAGGCATCTGGTTCAATGGTCTGCCCACCAAGGTACACCTGGGAAACTCGGGGACTTCCTGACATGGTTGGCCTTCAGGGAATCAATTTCCAAAACCTCCACTTCCCCGTGGTGTCCTTCCACATACCAGTGTGCTGGGAACCATCGGAGCCCACCAGCTCTCTTTCGAGGTGGCCCTCCTCAACGCTTCCCCGAAGAAAGGCCCATTCCCCCAGCCACCCAACTTTACTCTGGTGCTTTGCCCTGGTAAAAGCCACCAAACAAAGGGACAACTCAAGAATGCAGCACTCCTGGGAGGAGTCTCCTGAGGATGGACATTGAGAAGGGAGCTGGCCTTATTTTACCAAGACCTTCTCTAGCTTATCTACCCATCTGTTTATTTTAGAATTAGGAAGGAAGGAAGCTGACACAGGGACACCTGTTTAACACATTTATTGGAATAAAAAAATGGAGTCAGAGTTTTTCCAACACAAAGCATGATTTGGCTGACGGTCTAACAACGAGGTCCAGCTTTGCCAGTTAGGAATTACGGCAGACATTTTCCATAACTGTGTGGGCGGAGTTTGCCGTTCTAGGTTTTGACAAAATAAGCCTGGAAATACGCTCTGCTTAAAGTTATGAGAAAAAAATTTTATATGTGAAGTTTTAAATGTGTAAGGAGATACAGTTTTTCAAAATTCTTTTGGCAGGTGTGGGAGCAAAAAAAGTTTGAAGCCTGTGTCTTTACTTCCCTGGAGCCACACTCAGAGGCTGTAGCTTCCACACTACCCACTGGGCCATGAGAGTAATAGGTTCTCAAGAGAAGGCAGCCGCAGTGCATATGACAAGCATTCGACCTGGACGAGTGCAAGTTTATTTCTGCTATTTCTGCTAATTCTTAGCTGTGTGGATCTGGTTAAGTCACCCAGACCCCCTGAGACTCAGCTTCCCCATAAGCAAATGGGAATAATACCATATGAAACATAATAAAAATCCTGATGTGGGGCTTCCCTGGTGGCGCAGTGGTTAAGAATCCACCTGCCAATGCAGGGGACACAGGTTCGAGCCCTGGTCCGGGAAGATCCCACATGCTGCAAAGCAACTAAGCCCGTGTGCCACACCTCCTGAGCCTGCGCCCTACAGCCCGCGAGCCACAACTACTGAAGCCCGCACGCCTAGAGCCCGTGCTCCGCAACAAGAGAAGCCACCGCAATGAGAAGCCCGCAAACCACAACGAAGAGTAGCCCCCGCTCTCCGCAACTAGAGAAAAGCCCGCGCGCAGCAACGAAGACCCAACACAGCCAAAAAAAAAAAATCCTGATGTGATGATGATAACATTGAATGAATAACAGAGAAGTGCACGGCACGAACAGCACCAAATAGTAGCCAACCAGCAAGTGTTTTCTGTTTGGCTTGGACAACCTGATGGCCTCTATCTCCAGATGGTACTAATAACTGATATTTACTGAGCACTTACTATGTGCCAGGCACTGGGCTAGGTGCTTCACAGGCCCCAGTTCGTTTTGTCTTCACATCCATCCCATCGGCAAGGTGTCATTCTTATTCCTCGATTTATAAGCACAGAAAGCTTACACACTTGCCCAGCTCAGTCGGCTAGAGGTTAAAGGCCCCGTGGGTCTGTTCAGTTCCAGAGCCCGTGCTCTAAACCCTCCCTATTCAAAGTGCGGCCTCCGACTGGCAGCATCTGCACCGACTGGGACCTTATTAGAAATGCAGGATCCCAGGGCCTATTCCATACCTACTGAATCAGAATCTGCATTCTAGCAATATCTACGGTTGATTCCCATGCACATCCCTGTGGGAGAATCCCTGCTCTAGATCACCAGTCCAGCTGATTTACAACCTGGTTTTATCTTGCTGAAGGCAATATTAGAATGTTTGCTTTCTCCACACGTGCACACACACAGCTGGCAAGCAAAGCAAGCAAGGTGGTTAAGGGTTACAATAATCCATCAGTGACACATGCAAAAGGCGTATTTTTAAAAGAGCTGGGAGGACTCACGTCAAACACTCATCAGTGGTTACCTCTGAGGAGTGGTATGGGATGGGGAGAAGGGGTGGTGGAAGGGGGGGCCATCTGTTTTATTTGTTTATATTTCTCGTTTTTAATATTTATTTATTTATTTATTTGGCGGCACCGGGTCTTAGTTGTGGCATGCAGGATCTTTAGTTACGGCATGCGGACTCTTAGTTGCAGCATGTGGGATCTAGCTCCCTGACCAGGGATCGATCCCGGGCCCCCCGCCTTGGGAGCATGGAGTCTTAGCCTCTGGACCACCAGGGAAGTCTCAGGCCATTTGTATTATTTGAAATTTTTAATAAAAAGAATGGAGTTGTTTATTGGTTACACAATTTTTCATAAAAAGCATGACAGTTCCCCGGAAGGCCAGGAAGGGGGTCCCTAGGGAAGTGTTGGTAGAAGAAAAGGGTTGCTGGGCTTGTAGTCGTAAGACCTGGATTCAAGGCCAGGCTCTGCCCCTAATTTGCCTTGGGACAGCAGGGCTCTCACTTGGCATCTGTGGGCCTGTGTTTCCCCCACTATAAAGGGGGGTCGCCCCACGTACCCTTCCAAGCCCCACAGCATGGGTGCAGGGACCAACCGCGCAGCGAAATGCACAACAGGCCTGTGCGAAGGGCAGGGTGCTGTGTTTCTTGAAAGGAAAAGCGACGAAAGAAAGCAGTGAAACATTCCCCCTCACTCATTCCATTCCCCAAACACAGGCAGTCCATGACTTTATAAGGAAGACACACACAGCAACCTGGATTTAGAGTCCGTGGGAGCCCCAGGCTGATTTTCAAATCCTTATTCGAACTTAAAAGTTAGGTTTGGACGTGGTTCAAAACACAGAGAGAAAGGGCTTTCTCAGCATCTTGCCCATTCTCTTTGCTCCTCGCCGGGTTTCTCTGCAGGCTCAGGACTCGGGGATGCTGTGTTGGGGCACAGATGCTCCCCTCTGCTGTGCTTTCCATGCCTCCCCACACACGGCCCCAGCCCCGGCGCTGCCTCCCAGCTGCTCTGAGGGTCCACAGTTCGGCTCACTCTGGCCGATGCCTTAGTTTCCCCACTTTTATCTTAGAACCGGAAGGAGCAGCAAGTCCTCCCCTAGCTTGTCTCGGGGGAGGGGTGGAGTCTGGGTCCACAGGGATAAAGACACTCGCTCCAACCCACAAAGCTAGCTTAAAACAAATAGAGCTGGGTCGGGTTCTCTATGACCTTTGGAAATACCTCCTTTTCCTTAAGATTTTTCCATCATTCTTTTGCAACTTGTCCCCTCATTCTGAGAGATGCACAAATCTGAAGACTAAAAGCTGCTGTGCTTTTCCTCAAACTGAATAAGATCCTAAAACCACACAGTCTGAAGGTATCATTGAAACTGAGCCAGAAAAGAATCCCCTGTCAGATTTTCCAATGAGAACCAGGCCCTTCGAAACCATCATGAGCTTCAGCTACAGTGAAGTAATGGCGAAAGAAGCCTCCACGCAGGCAGTTCCAGCCCCAATATACTTACGTGGCCTTAGGCACCTAACGTCACCTCTCCGAGCCTCAGTTTTCTCACCTTTCGGGTTTAAAAAGAAGATTCTAGATAAGAATAAAGCCTTTCGTGCAGAGTAGGAGCTCAGTAAATAGCAACTATTACCATCATGATCATCTCACTCAGGACCATCCAACCCAAAGACAGGGGTCTGTCTAAATCAGTTCTCCACTCTTGTCACACATTAGAATCAACTAAGGAAAGTTTTTTCCTTTTAAAAAAATACCAGTGCCCAGACCTTATCCCCAGTGACTCTGATTCAGTCGTGTGGATTAGGCCCGAGGGAATCAGTACATTTGTTACAGCTCTCCAGGTGATTCTAATGTGCACCTGTGATTGAGAACTGTGCTCTGAATCCTTGCTTCCCAACCTTGAACGTGCACACGAATCTCCTAGGGGCCTTGCTAAAATGCAAGTTCTGACTCAGCAGGGTTAGCGTGAGGCCTGAGAGTCTGCATTTTCAACTAGCCCCCAGGTGACGCCAGTGCTACTGCTTCATGGCCTCAGGAAGAACGGCACCCAAAACTCAAGGTCTTGGGCAGATGGCTGGCAAGTTTATAAGATTCTTCTCTGGAAGTCTCGAAGGCTGGCTCTGTCTAGCCAGGCTAGAGCTCACTGCCTCCTGGAAGTAGACAGCCAACTATATGCCCTCAGACTGGGGCACAAGGACCCAGAACCAGAGCTTGTCCTCAGATGACTCTCTCTTCGGCTTCATGTTGTTTTTTGGCGGTGGTGGGTGAGGCAGGGAGGGGTGGTCTTAGCAAGAGCCTGCAGACACGCGTGGCCACAAAGGCACACTAGCAAGTTAATCATGACACCGCACCCTGCATTCCTGTGGAGTTGCCTTCTCAACACCGTCGAAGACAAAAGCCAGAAGGGAAGGGTCCTACTTACTTTCACTCAGATCGGCGGGGTGTAGGAGGGCATGGCCCGACCTGGCACCATGGCCCATCCAGAAGGAGCTGAAAACAACTGCACCTCTGGTCCGCCTGCTTCCTCTGAGCAGCCAAGCAGGAAAGCTTCCTGCCTGGAGCTGGCTAGGTAAGTGCACAGTTGAAGGGACTCCAGGGAAACATGAGGTGGGAAGGGGCTGGACGGGCAAGTCCCTCCGGCTTTGAGGGTGGTGCATTTTGTGACTCTAAACAACATCAACAACCCAACACTGACGGGGCACCTATTACGTGCCAGAGAATTTTACAGAAATACTCTAATTGGATCCTCACGTCGACTTCGCAAGTCAGGCATCACTGCTTTCATTGTACGGGTGAGAAGACTGAGGCTCAGTGGATAAGTAATGGAACCTACAGAGGACAGAGTCAGGATCGGAAGCCAAGCTCAAAACTTAAAATCTCTCGATGCCTCAACTTACCCTTTCACAAGAAAGGGAAAAGCATATAAATGAACAGAACTGAAAGTGGCTTCGTTATTAATCATTATCCTCATCAGAAGTGTAGTTAAGAGATACTGGGAGAAACGGTTGGTGTCTGTCCTGACGTTCAGGTGGCTAAGCCCAGACCCCTGCAGTCCCCAGGCCCTTGAGGGGAGGGTGAAATGCACCTGACGACGCCAGGGTGAGTACAGGAGACTTCAGGGGAAGGCCCGGCTGTGGGATACAGCTAGGGTCCAAAAACCCAACAGCTCAAGGAAGGAGACGGAGCTGAGTCACAGCTGCATGTTCCCAGCACCCGGGCCACCATGCCAGGCCCAAGGCTGGAAATGTGCCCATGGGCCCTGAGGGCCAACCTGAACCTGTGCCCCATCGCCTCACCCCTGCATAAGTCATGGAGGCTTCCTGAAACAGCCGGGGGCCGTTCAAGGACTACAGCACCAAGGGCCAAAGAGGCCATGCTGGGAGCCTCTGTCCCATTGGCCCCAGGCCCCTCCTCCCAGCACCCTTGCAGCTCTGGATTAATATTACACCCATACAACCCCGACAGTGGCTCCTGACCATCCAGCTCCGTGAAGGTCTGAGGCTTAACATACAGACAAGCTGGAGATGGAGGGGAACAACAGGGGATGCACAAGGAGGCAACAGCGTAGCCACTGAAAATGTTTTAGAACCACACCATTTCATTAAGAATGCTCATTCTACAGTGTTACATGAAAAAGCTACATGCAGAAGTATGTCATCAGTAAGATAACAACTGACTGTTTAAGAATCTATGCACATTAAGATGAAGAACAGGGCTTCCCTGGTGGCGCAGTGGTTGAGAGTCCGCCTGCCGATGCAGGGGACACGGGTTCGTGCCCCGGTCCGGGAAGATCCCACATGCCGCGGAGCGGCTGGGCGTGAGCCATGGCTGCTGAGCCTGCGCGTCCGGAGCCTGTGCTCCGCAACGGGAGAGGCCACAGCAGTGAGAGGCCCGCGTACCGCACAAAAAAAAAAAAAAAAAAAAAAGATGAAGAACAGAGGGAGACACAATCAAATGTTATTGGTGGCACCATTTAAGTGATCAGAATGATCACTTTTTTTGGAAATTAAGCATTTTCCAGTTTTTCTGGAATGTAATGTAGAAGGTAAACTACACAGGGGTCAAAGGAGCACATTCTTTTTTTTTTTTTTTTTTGATTGAAGGACAGTTGAGGAGCACATTCTGACTAAAGTCCGTGTGTCTGAGGAGTCAGGATGAAGACTTGCAGAGAGGGCACAGCCCAGGCGAGACAGTTCACAGCAATGAGATGGAACAGGCACATCTGCAGTCCAAGGCCACGGGGCTATGGTGCTCAGACCTGGGCCAGCGGGCCAGTGGGGGACCCTTCCCAAGGGGCTGGAATTCTCCAGGGAATATAACAAAAAGCCCCTTAATCCTTAAAGTGCTCTAAAGGACTCTATTGAAAGGCGCCTACTGAAAGAGTGCAGTCAGGTGCTCTGCCCCACGCTGGGGGCAGCAGACAGCTGCCACTGCAGGCTCCAGCGTCCCTCGAGACTCCCGGCCGAGGAGGATTCCTGCCTGTGCTGCAAAGCCCCACCAGCACAAGGACAGAAGAGAGCTGAGCTTCACCATATGGGGCTCAGGAGCCTCCTGGGAATGCCGGCGGGAGGGGGAATGGCAGGTCCCTAAGCCCTGTGCAAATGTGAAGGAGGGAAGAGGTTTAAAGTGAAGGAACAGCACCAGCTGTCGCCAAAACAACACTAATTACAGGGGCTGTGCCGCCTGCACCAGGCCGGGCTCTGCAAGCAAAGATCCTCCCAGGGGCCCGGCAGTCACCCAGCCGCCTGTGCTTTGCTGCCTTGTGGATGGGCTGCAGGCCTGTCACCCAACTGGGCAGGGAAGCCCAGGCCCAGAAAGCAGCTTCCACAGGTCCTGCTTACTGAGACGTCCCCATCACAGGGTCAGTTGCCTGGGCTGCGGGCCAGGGCCAGGAGACACTGGAATGTGGACAGGACTAGAGAAGCTCCTTCTCTGGAGTTTTGTTTTTTTTTTTTAATTTTTGGCTGCATTGGGTCTTCGCTGCTGCTCGCGGGCTTTCTCTAGTTGCAGCGAACAGGGGTTACTCTTCATTGCAGTGGGCGGGCTTCTCATTGCGGTGGCTCCTCTTGTTGCAGAGCACGGGCTCTAGGCGTGCAGGCTTCAGTAGTTGTGGCTCGCGGGCTCAGTAGTTGTGGCTCACGGGCTCTAGAGTGCAGGCTCAGTAGTTGTGGCACGCGGGCTTAGCTGCTCCGTGGCATGTGGGATCTTCCCAGACCAGGGCTCGAACCCATGTCTCCTGCGTTGGCAGGAGGATTCTTAACCACTGCACCACCAGGGAAGCCCTCTGGAGCTTTTAAAGACCTAAGTATCTGGAATAGCAACAGTAAAATAGGAAAAAATTGATGTCCTTGTCCCTTGAAGCTGGGGAAGGGGCAGAGTCAAGTGGAGAGACCAGAAACGCCAGTTCTCAGGGGCTCCTCACTCGCAGCTCACAGCTCATCACGGCAAGGAGCTCAAGTTCCCCATCACTGACGGGGCGTGGGGGCGGGGGGTGGGCCCTGGACGTCCTCCTGCCCAAGGCATTTCTGCTGAGACCCTGGGGTGGACTGAAAAAGGCCCACACTCAGGAAGCCAAGGAAGGAGGTAGGAAGCACCCGGGTCCAGACCCGGGTTTTGTCCCTGTTCTGTGGCTTCCTAGCCATGGGGCTGGTGCCAAGCTGCTTCACTCCCCTAAATTAGGTGTAAGCGGTACCCATCCTCGCTACTGCATCAAAACGTGTGCGGATCCACGAGAAATGCATGCGATGGTATTTCTAAGACTATCAAATGCTAAACAAATGGAAGGTGGCATTATGACTAGCGGGGCATCATTATAAAGCGGGGGCATTTTGCTTCTCTCTCATGACAACATGCAAATTAGAAGCAAAAACAGACACATGCTTTGTTTTTCAAGCCTTTCACCCACACACTCTAAAACAGGACTGGATGGGGCAACCTCAGGAACATAGGATGGGGCTCCTGAACCGGAGGGGAAAGGGAAAGGGAGAAAGGAGTAAACAAAACCAGCGAGACTAGGGAAGAAGTAAGAAGGTTAGAACCCAGATTCTGGCCTCCTGGGAACGAGCCCCGCGTCCCTGGGAAAGAGGCCGAGATGAAAGAGAGGCGCAGCTGGGGGAAAACAGGCCGTGAGAACAGGATGCGATTGTTCACCAGGACAGGCTGAGCAGCCACCCCGGCTTTGTGCGTTGATGTAATTAAGGCCCGGTAGGTGGGGGCCGAGGTTTGGAATCCTTTAGCTCCTCGCTATTCTCCCGGGACAGCTGAGCCCGAACTTGGGGCTGGAACTGGGGGTGGCTCAGCTAAAAGGGGGCAGCGGCCCAGGCGGCCAGAGGCGAAGCCCTCATTCCTGCCTGAGAGGCACTTCCTTCTCCCCAGTACTTTCCCCGGGAGTTCCCTGAAGGCCGGCCTCTGCCCTGACCCCAGTTAACACTCCCACTAATTGCTGGGGCTGCGAGAGCCCAAAAGCCCAGGGAGCAAAAGAGCCTGAGTTAATTAAGGAGAGAAAAAAAGTCTGCTTCTCTGTTCTTCCTTCCCCTCCTCCCTGCTCCTCT